AGGGGGGAGGGGAGGGGAAGGGGGGATTGGCGACGTACGTTGGTCCAGGAAGTGGTCTGCACTGCCCACCTCTTTAATGATGGCGGCGTCTTCCTGGTTGATGGCTCCGGCATTGTTGTCTCCTTCGGAAGAGGAGGAATGTGCAGTTTGCCGTTGGTTGGTGATATCCGGTCCGCCGAGCGGTTCTTCGGACCCTTTCGGAAGGCCCAGATGAGATTCCCGGGAAGGCATTCTGGGTGGGCGTATTCCGCTGCTGAGGTGTCTAGGGGGCGTACGGTAGTCAGGCATACGGAGGCCAGCTGAGCGGCGGCGGTGAGGGCTGATGGTAATTCCGTCGGAGATGCCACGACTCATGCCCGAGATGGCGCGGAAGGATCGTTGAGGGTTCTCCAGTCCGGTGGTCTTGTGCGACCAGCCCGAGGCTGAGTTCTCGGGAGGGGGTTCATCTCGAGAGAGACGCACGTCTTCATAAAAGGAGCGAGCGGAGGCAATGAGGTCGGGTGGCGTGCGGAGGCTTTGGGACAAAAATTGTCGTTCTTGCGTAATCGAGTTGACATTGACAGGGAACGAACTGAGTGTCTCAATCTCCTCCACAATATCCAGTGACGGCGCTAGCATGATGCCCGAGAGCGCAGTCTGTCCCGAGCCAATAACATGCCCGACGGGATTGAGGAAAATCTTCTTCCCGAATGTCACCAGACCGATGAGGAGCACACGATATCTGCGGTAAAGCACGCGGGTGAGCAAAGAGTAGTCGAGACCGCGCATGCAGCCGGGTATGTTGAAGCGGTAGACGTGGTACGTAAGTCCGACGAAGAAGTGGAAGAAGTTGAGCTCATCCTGGAGGTTGGAGAGAGGGAGGGGGTAGCTCCGAGTTTGATTTAGCAACTCCTCCATGGCATGGAGCGGGATCTTGGCGGACCCACGCAAGGTGAATTTCTTCGGTCGCGGAATCGCGATCGCCGGGACTTCAGGCGTGTTCGCTGCGACTGTTACGTTGACAGAGGCGGGGGTGGGGGGGATGGGAGTAGTAGACTTGGTTGTGACAATTCCGTGTCCGGCCAATTCGGGTTCGTCCTCGACTTTATGGTTTCGAGGATCGTAGGTTCGGCGTACGAGGCTTTCGAGATGCCTCTTGCGTCGCAGCAGTTGGTTGAATAGCGTCATCACTCTGCCCTTTTCTGATGGCGTTTGGAACCAATTGAATACAAGGGGCATGAAACCTGGGCAGCCCGCTAACGATCTAGCTATACATCTTAGTTTCAGTATTTCCAAGGACACGGTATGGTACGCGCCCATTTCAGCCGCCAAGCCAGCGTACATGCCGTGGACTAGCTGTACCGACACTGGCACTCGTGGCCAGCACCAAGGTTGAATTTTGGCCGCGCGCAGAAAGGTCGACTGGTCTTCGGAGAGCAGTTTAGTATAACTGCCGGTCTGATTGTCCTCGCCGCCACCTGTGGGATCGCCTAGGACGAACACGGCCCGGGCGGCGCCTGTAAAGTTCTGCATTTCCTCCATGGTCGGGAATTTGTGTGTCACGCCCACCCGTACGCCATACTCCTGTAAAAACAGGGCTACTAGTCCTTTGAAGGTCACGGCCGGGAACGGCGTAATGACCCACACGGATTTGATGGCGGAGGGCAGGCAGCTTACGACCTCATGCAGCAACACGCCCAGTTGGCGGGGCCGCACCTTGCCGAAGACTAAGATGTAGTCGGAGGTGCTGCTTGGTTGTCTGCCGACAATGGAGGGCGGGATGTGGAGCGCTGTCAAGAGTCTCTGGACCTGGTAAGGCAGCACAATGAAGGCCGTGAGGATGGCGCCCATGGTCACCCAACGCCCTTCGCGCGTAATAGGTGAATAGTCGCCGTAGCCGACAGTGGTCATGGTGACGACAGCATAGTAAAGGTAGTCACCTATGTTCGTGAAGTTCACGTCATACCTCGGCGCCTCGAGCAAGAAGAGGATCGCGGCGAAAGCCGTCAAAATCACTCCCGTGTCCGTCGCCAGGCCGCCGAGGATGAGGCTCACGGTCTCCACCGACGGCAAACAGTAGGCGAGCAGACTCTCGAGTCGGAAAAGTCGGAACAGGCGAAGGACGCTGAATAGCAGGCGCTCAGGTGAGTTGTTGGGCCAGGCCAAATTAACCACTTTGTAGAGCAGAGGCAGCGTGAGCAAGTCGACCAAGCTCTTGAAGCGCAATATAAACGACAACCGATTACTGGCTGCCAGGAAACAAATGACGTGGTCTGCCACCAATGTCCATTGCAGCGCTGCATCCCAGATACGTAGCTCTCTAGACACACCCGTGTAATCCCAGTCCGTGTGACGCACTGTGCGTCTAGCACCTGCCAGAGTAAAGAAAACAATGATACAGAAGATGATGTTTCGAACGACCGTTCCCACAACCGCACCTGGTTGGTTGGCAATTACCCGAAGGCGTTTCTTCAGTAACTCGCGAAACGTGTGGTATTGTGTGCGATAGAGCCGGATGCTTCGTGTTGTTTCATCGAGACCTTTCGAGTTAGGTTCACCTCCTTCAATTAAATTTTGCCAGTCCGTTTCGCCAAGCATCTTCACACCTTCAGTTGCGTCTCGCAGTCGACGCGATGCCCGGCGACCTCCGTACATATGTCGGTTATCAAACATGGTCGGCTGGCTCCCATGGACAGGTGCCATGGAGCCTCTGTTCGATAAGTAGCCACCGCTGTAAGGACTGGTCATCGCAGGCCTCTGTTGGCGGATGGTGCCGAGATCGGCTACACTCACACCCTTCCCCAGCCGCTCTTCGGGCGCCGGCAGGAACTGACTTATGTTCATGCCACGGCCTGCTCCCGCGCCGCTCCTTGGCTCGACGAATGACCCTGTGCCGCCAGGGAATATCCCGCCTCTACCCCCTCTGTGTTCCCCGCCAGGACCCGAGGCGGGACCTCGGCCGGGATCGCAAGCTCCGGAGCTTGCGGGATCGCCAGAATCTGCGGGACCGGAGTTGTTGGGAGCGGTAATTTGTATCGCTGGTTCCCTTGCTCCTCCACAGGCCTTGACGAAGAGCCCGCAGCTCAGCTGCTTTACAATCCGGTTCACTTGACGGGCCGCCTTATGACGCCCGCCAAACAAAATGTAGAATACCAAAGCCATGGCAAGATAGCCTGGGATACCGCGAAGAGCCACATCCAACAGATCGAAGTCGCGGTCAAAGGCCGCGTCGCACGACCACAACAGGGCGCCCACGTAAGTACAAACACTCACCCAACGCACGACAGGCCATAGCACACGTCGTGTTCGCAAACCGCACTCGGAGCAGCGGAACACACACCGACGGAACCAGTTGCCACGCCGCCCGCTCTCGTCGGTCCCGTATTCGCCAGTCTCATCTTCGTCCGAGGCGTTCTCCACCTCCGAACCACGATGTGCTAACTCTGAACCTGAGTCTTTGTACCGTAGTCGTGGCGCACGACCCGTATCCGGCAACCACTGAAACCGTTGAGTCAGTTTCTTCGTCGGCTCTTTCGCAATCTCCTCATCCAAATGAGCAATCTTGTCCTGAAACTCCGCTACCTCCTGCTCACGTTTCCAATAAGACCATCGTACCCCACCCGTTTCCATACGGGGATTTGAAAATGTTCCGCAAAAGGCACCTAAGACCCAACCAACTAGACCATGACCAGGACGACCAGGACGACCTAGACGACCGAAAATCACGACCCAACGGAGAAGAGTATAATGGAGGCTTCCAAAAACGAAACACTCTATCACCTGACGCCTCGATTAACAAACGAAGACTCACTGAGAGATCCAACCCACGTCATGACCATCACGAGTCCGACCGACTTGATGGATACCACAAGTCCGACCGACTTGATGGTCATGGAGACGATGATGATTATGGACATGATAGTGTCTTGACAGTGGAAGAACTGAGAGCCTTGCAGGAATTCAGAGCCACTGGCCGTCGCGGTATTGACACCGACCCCAACCTGCCGAAAGAAGAGTCCGTTGCCGCCAAGTCAGAACAGCCAGAGGTGCCGAGTGGAGACACCGCACACTCTCGAGTGCTGGAAACACACGCGCTGGACGACGAAGACAAACCTCTACCCGGAGGCCTTTTCAGCAAAAAGATACGGGACAACCTGCTCGAACGGGCCCAACTGGGCACTGACCCCGCAGCTGCTAAGTCCCATAAGGTACTCCAGGCTGTGTCCATCCCGGATGACCACGCGGGACAAGTGTGGAAACCGATTCTGCAAGAAGTCGACCTGGACGAAAACACATAATCACCCGCCGGGAAAGTCTGAGTGGAAGGTCAGAGACCGATATAGACCGGCCTGCTCGACGGTTTGCTCGACGGCTTGCTCGACGGCTTGCTTCATATAGAGACATGCGTGAGACGGGAAGGGAAAAGAAAAAAGGCGGGTAAGGAGAGGAGAGGATAGGATATGAAGAACCACTCCAGTGGAGAGAGGAGGAGGCGATGAGAGGCGGCGGAGAGGACCACATGTCAATGAACGCAGCTAGCACCCCTCGAGAACTCTGCTATTGGACAGCTACTCGGTTCTTAAAGTTATAGACCCGAGGGAGTCGTCCCCACGTTTATTGAGCTGCTGTTCCTGCCAGCGAAACACAAGTGGACACTCGCCTGTCTTTAATAACCAGTCTTTAATAGCCAACAAGTTCACCGGGGTGAAAGGCTTTCCAAAGCGTACAAAAACGAGGACTGTGCGAACGAACAAGCATTCTTGGGTCAATGAACTTTAGTCAACGAGTGGCGCTGCCGAGGTCCTTCTTTCTTGTGGCAGGCAGAAGGTTGGGTTCCGCATTGAGGGGAGGGAGGGGGGAAAAGGGGGGGCGTGCGAGCAGGATTTACTCTTTTTGAAAACCGGATATGTGGTCTGAATTGCCGCCTCCTGAGGACGACAAGATATTTGGGATTGCCAAAGAGTACCGTAACGATAAGACTCATGAGCAGAAGGTGAACCTGTCGATTGGAGCTTACGTGGATGAATCCGGCAAGGCGATTTGCTTTAAGAGTGTGCAAAAGGCAATGAGCAATTGTGCAAAAGACCCGGAAGTGGGTTACCTCATGCCTAGAGGTGACTTGGTGTTTTGCGAGTTGTCTCAGAAACTTCTCTTTTCGGTACCGGAAGTGGATGATAGAATTGTATCCATCCAAGCACCGAGCGGTACCGGGGCACTCACAGTTGCGGCAAATCTATGTAAAGAGCTGTTCAGCCGTACAGCTTCTCAGCCGGTAGCATACGTGTCTAATCCTACTTGGCCGATTCATAAAACTCTGTTTGGCGTTCAGTGTGGTTACGTAGTGAAAGAGTATGGTTACTGGGACGCGGCCAAGTTGACAATAGACGATGCTAAGTTTAGGTCGGATATGGATTCTGCAAATGAGCACTCGGTGATTATTACACACGCGTGTGCGCATAATCCGACTGGCCAAGATTTGTCTCACGAGCAATGGGAGTTTGTGTTCGATGTTTGTCGTAGGAAGCAGCATATCTTAGTAATTGACTGTGCGTACCAAGGCTTCGCGTCCGGTGATTTCGAGAGGGATGCTTGGGCTGTACGCCGTGCCTACGAGATTGGGGTACAGACTGAGAATCAAAAGGAGAAGCTATGTTTCATCGTCTGCCAGTCCTATGCCAAGAACATGGGACTGTACGGTCACAGATGCGGCTGCTGTCATATCTTTGCGCCCGGCAAGGAGTCCGCCGAAAAGGTCCTTTCCATGGCGTCCAAGATCGCTCGCAGAATTTGGTCAAATCCGCCTCGGATGGGTAGCGACGTAGTGAAAGCCATCCTCTTAGACCCCCAACTCAAACAGGAATGGATACAGGAACTGCAAGGCGTGAGCGAAAAAATTCGCCTGCTCCGAGCCAAGCTGAGGACAGCACTTGAACAACGAACACCCATGGACTGGGCCCACCTCACCAACCAAATTGGTATGTTCGCTTACACTGGTTTGCGTCCTGACCAGTGCAAACGGCTGCGAGCAGAATACGGAGTCTATCTTCTCGACACAGGACGCATCAGCGTCCCCGGATGCACCTTTGAAAACATCGATTACATCGCTGACTCGATCAGCTCCGTTTTGAATTGCTGAACATCAAAGGTCAAAGCAACTCAGCAGGGAACTTTTGGTCCTGACGTAACATTGAAAACCACGCTTTTTGTGTCTGGATCACCGAACCCGAATGCCTATAAGTCGGTTGCTGGGTCAGTGCAAAACTGAATGCCGTGTGAAACTTAGGACGTCTAAAACAAATGCCTATCTGGCAGTGGCTACGTTCCTTGCGTAGTTGCGTCCGTAGTGTTGCTGCATGACTTGGAGCATTGCCTCGCCGATCTCGGCAGGGCTTCTGACGACCTTGACGCCAGCCGCCTCAAGCGCCTTGAACTTGGACTCCGCGGTCCCCTTGCCACCTGAAACGATGGCGCCGGCATGCCCCATGCGCCGTCCAGGAGGCGCGGAGGCACCCGCAATGAACCCCACAATCGGCTTGTTGTGGTAGTTATGACCTACAACAGAACATCCTCCACGGAACATCCTCCACGGAACATCCCCCACGGAACATCCCCCACGGAACATCCTCCACGGAAGACGTGTGTGGGTGTATTTAGTCTGGCCATGACCCTTGCTGGTGTATCCCGGGGGGCGTCTTACGTTTGATATAATCGGCGACTTCCTCTTCAGCTTCGCCGCCGATTTCGCCGATGATAATGATACCTTGGGTTTCGTCGTCGACGAGCATTTTTTGGACGACGTCTTTGAAGCTGCTGCCGTTAAAGGGGTCTCCACCGATACCGACGACAGTGCTTTGACCAAGACCGCGAACGGAGGTCTGATGAACGGCCTCGTAGGTGAGGGTGCCTGAGCGGGAGACGATACCTATGGGACCCTTTTTGTGGATGTAGCCCGGCATGATGCCGATTTTGCATTCATCCGGTTTGATGACACCGGGACAGTTGGGTCCAATCAAAGTCGTCTTATGCTGCTTGCTAAGCATGTGTTTCACGCGGACCATATCCAATGACGGAATGCCTTCAGTAATGCACACCACCAATGGCAATTCTTCCTGAATGCATTCTTGAATCGCGTTTGCCGCGAACGGAGGCGGTACGAATATCATCGACGCGTCGCAACCCGTGTTCTTCACCGCGTCCCGCACGTCTTTGAAAACTGGCAATTGATACTTCTTGTTCGTGTCGCTCCACACACTCCCCGCCTTCGACGGATTCACGCCGCCCACCATCTTAGTCCCGTACTCCAAACAACCCTGAGTGTGATATGAACCATGCTTGCCAGTAATGCCCTGACATATCACCTTCGTCGTCTTATCCACGTAAATCTTCGTTCCTCTAACTACATACTAAAAACAACGTGTGAATGAAACCACTCTCAATCGCACCAACAACACCCAAGGCCACACCGATCTACCCCTTCGCCGGGAGTTTGTCGAATTACCCCCCGGCTCTCACGTGTTGATCAACCGTGTTGATCAACCGTGTTGATCAACCGTCCATTGTCGTACATTCCGTCGGATCACGTTTCGTTGCCAACCGACCAACAAGACCACAAGGCTACCCACCGAAGTGTGTGTTGTTACCCACGGAAGTGTGTGTGTTGTTCATTCGTTTGTTAGTGTTCATTACCTGGTTAAGTCCAGAAGGTCTGTTTGATGCGCCGAGCATGGTCATTAAATTTCCTGCGGAGAAAATCAGCACCCCCAAAAGACCCGCACCTCCATGGCGCAATATCAAGAGCCATTCCGACCACGGTTGGAGACTGAGGACGGGAGCAGCTCTGAATCCTTCGGGCCAGACAGCTATTCTTTGTAAGCAACCAGAAAGACGACCCCCAGAAAGACGACCCTCAGGAAGACGACCCTCAGGAAGACGGCCGGTGGGATTACAGGCCACGACGATCGATCCGTGGCGACCATCGCGTAAACAGAGACGATCGTCGGATTAAGTCAACGGCAGGAGATGGTCACCACACGGGCAGGAGATGGTCACCATACGGTGGGCCATGTAGGCGGCGGCCTCGATACGGAAACATCCATTTTAGTGCGTTGCGTAGTAACACTGCGCAGGAGTGATACCCGGTCGGATTATGTTCCTTTGGATTCCCGTTACGACGTGTTGGATTCCCGTTACGACGTGTTGTTCTGTTAGGGGGAATGAGGACTTTGAAAAGGTCTTGAGCCCAAAGAAGCGAGTGCAAATCGGGCAAACGAGTGTAGCCCTGCGAGACCGGACAGAGCCTTCGCTCTCGCTGTCCTCGTTGGACTGGAAGCCGAAGACGGGGGGCGAGGCTCTGGACATGTCGGTTTCATATGCAGCGGTACCGAAGCCGTCGCCCTGGGACCTGCCATCTGCGGAGGAGATGCGTGCTTTCCTATACCGGAAAGTGGGTCGCTTGCGGAAAAAGTGGTGCACCAACTTGTTCGTCATCGAGGACGGTGTGCTTTTTGTGTGCTGGGACCAGACATCTCACTTCCTCATCGAGCTGGCAATTCCTTTGACCAATATTCTGCAGTGTGTCAAACATGTGAAAGACAACGCAATCTTTTCTGTAAGTACACTTGGCGACCCGCCAGAGGCAATCCCCCCCCCCCCAATTTGCATACTGACTAACGATGTGGTGGTGTAGGTGGTTTATACGGACGTGAAGAACCGAAAGGGAAAGACCAAGTCATTCCGGATGGAGGTGCGATGCAACAACGAAGATGAGAGGGACGGATGGGTGGACCGTTTGCTGTCATTGCGCGAGACGTCTCGTGCGTTGAGTGGGGAGTTAGTGGACCGACAGAAGGCTGAGGAGTTGTTGCAGAAAGCGTTAGGAGAACTGCGACGGGCGGCGGCATTGTCGTTGGGGGCGAGTGTCGGTCGTTTGCAGAAGATGCACGAGGAGCGTGGTCGGCGGCGTGCGTTCCTGGCGTTGGCAGACGGTCAGAATCGGTTGCATGGGATACTGAAGGGCAGTCGTTCGAATAGCGTGATGATGTCTTCAACGCATGGTTTACCCCCAACGGACGAGATCGTAGAAAGGGAAGTGCAGCGTCGACTTTCAGCCCTCAAACATAAACTGGAACGATCTCAGAGTCGCAGAGACTCCATGACTGGTAAAGAAGTACACGTCAACGCCGTCCGACATACCGAGGCTGCCCTCCGTCTCGTGTACTGGTTCCAGGGTAAGCAACTCTGGTGGCGTGCCGTAGCCATGTACCAATTGAAGCAGTCCGTCGGGCTCATCAAAGACTCCAGCGGCGGAACTGCTGCCGCCCGCGGGGTCGGAGACGGGGGTACAAGACGCTCAGGCGGCAGCGACGCAGGCGGC